AGAGAGAGAATTTTAACATTTATTTATTTTTTCTTAGTTCTCGGCGGACACAACATCTTTGTTGGTATGTGGTGCTGAGGATCGAACCCGGGCTGCACGCATGCTAGGCGAGCGCGCTACCGCTTGAGCCACATCCCCAGCCCAACACAGTGATATATTTTATCCCTATCCTTGGAAGTACTCATGGTATCTTTCGAAATCAAAAACCTGTGAACCCTGAAGCAAATACGAATATTGTAAGTTGTTAGGAAATAAATCTAAACTGCTAAAGTAACAGAGAATGTTACTCTTCAAATTTTGGATTTTTTAAGTTAATAGATAATCAAATATATCTCTCTGAACTTATGTATTTGATATGGGTCAACTAATATTTTGAATCTACTCTGCTGTGGTTTATGGTTTCACCTTCAGCCTTAGTCTGTCTCTTTGATGAAACTATATATAATATACTAATACCTTCATAAAAGATATAAAAATTCTCTCTTCTATACATTCTTATGTGATATGTGTGTGTGTGTGTGTGTGTGTGTATATATATATATATATATATATATAAATTTAAAATACAAGATTAGACATATGCCTGGACATGAAAACATTTATGGATACACATGTACTTTTAAATTGTATATGAGCAGCTAGGTAAATGTATTAGAAGTTAGAAAACAAAATAGTGGAGTATTTTTTGCTGATTTTCTCTTTGAGGAGAGGGATTTAAATTTTTTTGTTGTTTTTTTTATATATCCTTGAATCCCTAGGGCTTAAGACTGGTGTTTAATAGACATTCCATAAATATATTACCTAAATGAATCACTGAATTAATAAGAAAAGCACATAGACCTGAGGTTGAGATAGAATACCAAAATTCCTTATTACATAATGGATTAGATAGGGCAAACTATTTAAACCATTAGTTAACAATTTTTTGCTAAATGGTTTGCTTTTTCTTTAAATTCAGAGCCAAATCATTTTCTACTGGGGCTATCCCAATGAAGAATATAATGTTGTAACCGAAGATGGTTATATCCTTGGCCTGTATAGAATTCCTTATGGGAAGACAAACAATAATAATGCTTCAGGTAATATTCAGTTGAAGATAGATTGGTGAGTGAGGCCTGAAGTTCTTAACTTTTCTATTTCTTCTCAGTGAACATGTATGATTTACTGTCAAGGGAATGGAATACTATTAAGGGACGTTAGGGTAGGGTGGTGGAAGGAGGTAAGGAAGGATGTGATTCCACAGGGTCTAGGGCGTTCAGAGAAGTTCCTGGAGCTCATGAATAGCACTACAGAGTGCCCCCACACTGAGATTAAGCAGCTAGCTTTTTGCACTTCCCTGTCAGTTAATCACTGCCTGCCAAAGGCTACCACTAGAGGGAGGTGGAATCTTTTGGGTGAGACAAATCCTATTTGACTGAGGGGAATCTCTACATAGAAAGGAGCAATGGACCATCCTTAGAAAAAACACTGAGATCATAATTAGTCTTATAAATTACCTACTCCACTATCCATTCTATATTCCTCACCTTCCCACATAGCTTGTTTGATGGAGGTAAACCAAGCCCTCATCCCTAAGCACTGCCCTATCTATATCTGATCATAGCTGTAGTGTCTACATACAGAACAGAGCATGGGAGTAGAAAAAGATGCCTCAATTGAGTGGTCACTTCTGTGGAACCGGTGAGTTCAGGGAAATGTGGAATTCAAGTTTATGAAGATCTTCACAGGTACCCTCCCTCATCTCAAGTTTCAGGGTCCTACTTCTGCCCTATCACAGCCCTGGATATAGGGATATATTCTCTCTCTCTCTCTCTCTCTCTCTCTCTCTCTAGAGAGAGAGAGAGAGAGAGAGAGAGAGAGAGAGAGAGCATATATATATATATATATATATATATATATATAGAGAGAGAGAGAGAGAGAGAGAGAGAGAGAGCGCTCTACCACCATACTGTGTAAGATGAGAATTCAACCTTCCTGCAGTTCTGCTATTCTTACAATTAGGTCCTGCCCAAGGTTTTCAACTCTGTTTTCCTTTTGGCCATAAGACATAAGGGTGGTTAGATATAGCCTCAGAGGCCATATGATTTTCACACTTTGCTTTGAATTGGTGATTGTTTGCCCCTGTTACTTTCTGTCTTCAAATCACCACTGGCACTTAGCAACAGCCACCCAAATCCAAAGACCTCATAATTATACTTCCCCTATTTGTCTCAGCTATCAGAGATCCTGTAAAAGCCAATCATCCCTTTCGTGGATCTTATTCCAATTCACTATACATGAATATTCTAGCCACTGGAATGCTACAACATGCAAGGTTCTTTCAATACTGCACCTACAACCAGATCCATATGGCTAATCAATCAGAAAGTAATCCAACTTCATAATCCCATCCTTAAGGGTCTGCTTCTTAATCACTGTCGATGGTAACTCCTGGGTAATGTTCGCTAAAGCCCATGACGGGGATTTGATGCACATGATTTTGGGGGGAATTGGAAAAAAAAGAACAACAAAGATAATGATGGAAGCAGAAGACAAAGAGCAAAGGAAGTGGGTGAATAAGGATTTGGTGGCAAGAGTCTTGCTTCCACCTGGATCCTTGGTATAGAACATGAAGTGCATCAGACGTGATCTAACCTTGAAGCAAGAGTCGATCTTTGTTATCTTCGTGTCACTTAGTCAAAGTATAGGGTTATTTCCCACCTCCTAAGTGTGGAGACTCCCTTATAGCCAAAACTATATTATTCAAAAGGTGTCATATTTTTTAAAAAAAATGTGTTAGTACAGATTAGGGCTCTGGGAACTCAGGTGATTAAAACAGTGGCTATAGTGATAATGATACCAATTTTTATTATTCCTCTGAAATATGTGATTATAAAATTGTTTTATTAAAAATAAAGCAGGAAATCATGTAAAATATCTTGGGTATGTATTACATAAAATGTGTATAAGTGCCCAAATTACTATTAGTCATTTGGTTATTCTCTCTTCCTAAAATTTATGTATTTAAGTGGGACATCAACTAATTATTTACTTGGTTGAAACTATTATTGGAAAGAAATCTGTTAGTGAACTATATTAAATAGTTCTGACTATTTGGTAGGATTAAAGGAGGACCTTACTGCATTTATGCAAAATAAATCTTGGAAACCTTCATACATTTCAGGTAAGAGATTTTCATGTAGAAACTACACAACTTAAAAAGAAAATTTATGTGGCTCAGTGTCAGAGTGCCCCTGGGTTCAATCCCCAATATAGCAACTTTCTTATGTATAACTGTAATGCACTAATAAATAAAACATTTTTAAAAAGAAAAAAAATAATAAAATTTTTGCTTTTTTTCTCATTAGCTCGGAGACTCGTTGTATATTTGCAACATGGTTTACTTACATCTGCTAGCAGCTGGATTTCAAATCTTCCCAACAGCCTGGGTTTCATTCTGGCAGAAGCTGGCTATGATGTGTGGATGGGGAACAGCAGAGGAAGTACCTGGTCTAGGAAGCATCTATACTTAAAAACAAAATCCGAAGAGTTCTGGGCTTTCAGGTACAAATAAAATGAAGATGAAGTATTCTTTCATTTTTTTGAAAAGTATACTGAATATTTATTTCATTTTCAGTAAAATACAATAAAATATAGATCTGATTCTTTTCTCAATATAGAACTTTCCTTAGAGCATACAATTTTATGCAAATTTTAGCTTGAAAATTAGACTGCTTGTTTGATTTTGAACTTTTTTTCTCATTTTTCAGCAGTAACCTTTATTTCTTATTTGGTACCTTATTGACCAACCCCATTCTTAGTTTAACTACTTTTCTACTTAATAGCTAATGTGTTTAGTCCAGTCTACTGTATTTATAATATACAACCATCCTCTTTATAATACTGCCTCTGGTTTTATTTCCTTGACTTTGTGTTCCCCACAAAAGTCTCTATCCTGTAGGTACATTTTACCACATATCTTCTTGATTATACCCAAAGAGATTTGAAAATTGCCTTTATTCATTTACCCATTCATTATCTCCAAATGTTGATATAACAGAAGAAAGTGCTATTTTTCTTGTTCTTTTTTTGATAGTTTTGATGAGATGGCTAAATATAATTTTCCAGCTTCCATTGATTTCATTGTGAAACAAACTGGACAACAGGAAATATTTTATGTAAGCCATTAGCAGGACACTACTATTGGTATGACAAGAAATATCATTGCTATTTTCACTTCAATGACTTGAAATAATCAATAACATATAAACTAATGTTAAGTACTCTCTATACAAGAAGTTAAGGAGTTTTAAAATGCATTAAAAGTAAATATTAAAACATTTTTACATTTATTGAGTCTCTCACCCAAAGTGTAAGATTCATCTCTGTGAAAATTTTACTTATTCCACTTACATCATAGACAGTTATACAATTGCTCCATATTACTAATTTTATTCAATGTAATTGTTTTAGAGTTTTAAACTATAGTGTTGCAATCTGCTTTATTACAAAATTATCATTGTTAGCAAAAAATATCAGGACAAATGCAAACTTCACAAATCAGCTCAGGTTTTTTTATTCAGGAACAAAGTTTCACACAGGAATAGGGGAAGTAGGGATGAAGTGACACTGTGGAATCCACTTTCCTGGTGGAAAATGAGACTGAGTCCAAATAATAGAGGGTACTAGGTTTATATAGGTTGTGGAAGATTTAGTGAGCATGAGAGTCTGGGCACTCAGGAATATGAGTCCTTGAGCTGGGGTTAGTAGACAGCACCTGGAGAGGAGTTGTCTTGAAAGAGGTGAGTGTTTCCTAGAGACTGCCACGTCTAGGTTGGATGAGACACTTTCTCCCTGCCTGGGGCCAGTGTCTGGGAAGGATTTATCTTGGAAGAGAAGAAAGTCATCATTGTATGGCTTTCCTTTCTATTTCTTTCTTCCAGGCCTCATTATTCTGTTTTTTTTTCCTTTCATATCCAATAATCATCCTTTATGATTACTTCAAAACTGTAGTTATTAACAATATGCTGTGATTAATATAATGTCACATGCTCGATGATCAAAAAATGGTAAAGTGAATTAAGAAATGAATTGTTCAGAGGCCATTTTTGAATCCACTTTTACTTTTTTATGCTGTCATTTTTACATGCCACTAGTAACTGCTTCAGAATATCTTGCTAATTTATGTCATATTTCCTTTCAGCTTTCATAACATTTTCTACAATACCAAAGATAGCTGAAAGGATAAAAATATTTTTTGCCTTAGCACCAGTTTTTTCAATTAAACACACAAAATGCCCTCTAATTAAAATGGCACACAAATTAAAGTCAATAATCAAGGTATGTTCTGCCTTTCTTTTGTATTGTAGATAACCCAAAGTGATGATGATTCTGTGCTTCAAAATAAGAAGTCATGATTATGTTTGCATGGTCACATGTATGAATTGGGTTTTTGTTTCATTTATATTGGATTTTTGCCTTTGCTTCTATAAAGAATAGAATATTACTTGTTATACCTTTAGATATTTTATTGTGAGAAGAAACCCAGTGGTGAAACAATCTTTAAACCCTACTTCTTTAATTAAAGAAAGTGTTTTCTTTAATTAAAAATTGTTAAACTACTGTAAGATAATTTCTTTGTGTATATAGGAACTCACCGTATTATTTTTAAAATAAATATTGTGGTCTTTCAAATGTGAATAAAGTAAATTTATTTTACAGACTTTATCTGGCCATGAAGACTTCTTACCTAAAACCTCATTTAATGAATTTGTTGGTACTAAGTTATGTCCGTTACCAGTTTTTAATAAGATTTGTTTCAGGACCTGGTATATGATATTTGGAAATGATACAAACAATATAAATATGGTGAGAACAAACTGTATTTGAAATATATTTTTGCCAGTTTTGGAAAGGAGCTCTAGGTCCTTATTGTTGAGCCTTTGTGTGTTCTTTCGTGATTCATATATGCATACTAGTAGTTAGAGTCTTAGCCTATCTGATTTTATAACTATTTGGATATTATGTAATTAATTTGCATTAGCATGATGAGATTATTTGCTTACATATTTGTCTTGCTCTCATTGGAGACTAGAGAGCAGTTGTTATGATGGGTAACTTAGTAGCTTTCACTACTGGGCATTGGTTTCCTGAGACTTTTAATATTTAGGCTCTCCTCTATTTACCTATTTTCTATAACTCCTCCTCTTGTATCATGGTTCCTAACAGTATTCCACTTCCCTGTTGATCTTTTCATGAATGAAATTAGAACCTGCTAATTATCCTTAAGCTTCTAACATTTATCAATACTTCTGGAGTGGCAGGCATTCTCTCCCAGACATTTTCATGATATTAAATTAAAAATCCTAGTTTGGTAGAAGTAATTGTGGCATTTGAAAGGAGTTGGTTCTTTTATTGAGGACTTTTAAGGACTTCTTAATGAGAACCTATTCACACAGTCAAAGAAATAGAGGTACTCTCTTAATTCTCAAATACATGTTCATGGCACAAGGTCATATTAATATGATTCGACCTCAAGAATGTCTTATCCTGGTCTTAGAAAGCTATATATACAATTACAGAAATCCAAAAGAAATGTTTTACAATATAAAAGATGAAGTCAGTTCTTGCCCCTTTAGCTGATGAAGGTGTGAAAAATGTGCTTTGCACCATAGAAGATAAACAGAATGACTTTCATAACTTCTCTCATATTCTTCTATCTACCATTATTATGTACCATTATTATGTATCTACTATGAAGAGCTTGAAAGAATAATAAATATAATTCTTATTCTTGCTTGCCTTACCCATTCATTTGGTATTTTAGGGTAGTTTATTTGGCCAGTGCTATATTTTAAGAAGTTATATTGTTGCATCTGCCAGGGGACCAGCGCTAGCTTCATGAAAGAAGGTTCGATTCATGAGTAATTGCTAGGGAGTTTTAAATTAAAGAGACAAGACTCTCATTACCTTTAATACCAGCTCCGAGATGGCTTCTCCTAGCTTCCACCTCCAGTCACCTAATGCGGTGGCAAGGTTTACAGAAGAGACTAGGGAGAGAGAGAATACGCCAGGGAGTGGACTTTTATTGGGGAACAAAAACTTCCCGGGAAAATTCCATCCAATGAAGGTTAAGGGGGATAGCATCCCAAGGTCAGGGGCAACGATTGGGTCTTCCAGGCAATGGCCAGACACACCTCTGCACAGACAAGCCCTCGGACCTGGGAAAGGGTAGGGAAAGCTCTAACACAGCTGTGTCTAAGCACCTCTCACCCAGCCAGGGAGGTAACTCAAATCATGTGCGAGAATGGCCTCCCACAGTTGCACTTCAGAACTCTCTTCCTGTGAATTATTGAGAAGCCTATACTCTGGCTTTTTAGCCTTCAAATTTGTGGGTGCCCTTTCTAAGCCAGAAGCTGATAGTGTTATAGAGTATAATACAGCTGCATCCTAAGGTTTCTGGAACTGTATCTAGAAATGAACAAACTTCACACATATAGAGCAAGAATAGTAAGAGTTATAGTATAGTTAATCTTGAATTGGTCCTCTTGAGCCTATCAAGATATGCAAGAAAAATAGGATATGTTTTGTAATTTCTTTTCTGGGGTCAACATGAAAAACCCAAAGAGAATCTTGTAGCTTGTACAGAGGCAGTGAGGGGGGGTCAGCCCAATGTCACTGATATGGGAAACCAACCAAAGAGATTTGACAGCAAGCCATGATTTAAAGAACAGTTTGTGAAAACTCTCATAAATATAACCTGGAAAGTGTATCATCAAAACCAGAATTTTTATGCTTGGCATGATGGCTCACATCTGTAATCTTGGTGGCTCAGGAGGCTGAGGCAAGAGGATCATGAGTACAAAACTGCCTCAGCAATGGTGGGGCACTAAACAACTCAGTGAGACCCTGCCTCTAAATAAAATACAAAATTGGGCTGGGATGTGGCTCAGTGATTGACGACCTCTGAGTTCAATCCCTGGTACCCACCCACACCCCCAAAAACCCCAGAATTTTTACTTTTCCCAATTGTTATAAGTCTTTGATAATAGTTTACCAATCCCCTGCCCCTTCCCCTAAACAACTAACTCTTATAAGAAAAGTGAGCTTTTAAGATTCCTAAGTGCAGTAATTAAGGTGTATGATTATAATTTGGGTTCCTTTGTAGGGATAGATTTCTTCTTACCTTTCTGACAGAGACTCTGGTGGACATCTTAAATTGTTCAAGGATAGGCATTAGAAAGGTGAACAGGGCAGTATGCTCTGACCTATATTAATGTAAATAGTAATGGTCCATGATGGAAGGTATATCTGGGATGTATCATCCCAGAAACCAAACATTACAGTGAAGTTTATTTCAAGCATAGAGAATAATTTAAAAATTAGAGGACACAATAAAAACCCAAGAGCTTAAATTCTAGAATGTTTCTGTTAAAAATTTCTGTTTAGGCCACTTTAAATTGTTCTGTCAGGAAAAAAGCATTTGACAAAATACAGCATCCTTTCATGTTCACAATACTTGGAAAACTAGGGATAGTAGGAACATACCTTCATATTTTAAAAGCTTTCTATGCTAAAATCCAAGGCCAACATTATTCTAAATGGAGAAAATTTGGAAGCATTCCCTCTAAAAACTGAAACAAGACAAGAATGCCCTCTATCACCACTTCTATTCAACACAGTCCTGGAAACTCTAGCCAGAACAATTAGACAAGAGACATTAAAGGGATATAAATAGGAAAAGAAGAACTAAAACTGTCACTATTTGCTGATGACATGATTCTACATTTAGAAGACCCAAAAAATTCCACCAGAAAACTTCCAGAACTCATAAATGAATTCAGCAATGTAGCAGAATATAAAATCAACATCCATAAATGAAATGTATTCTTATATGTCAGCGATGAATGCACTGAAAGAGAAATTGGGAAAACTACCGCATTAACAATAGCTCAAAAAATAAAATACATGGGAATCAATCTGACAAAGAGGTGAAAGACCTATACAATGAAAATTACTGAACACTAAAGAAAGAAATTAAAGAAGACCTTAGAAGATGGAAAGATCTCTCATGCTCTTGGATAGGAAGAATTAATATTGTTAAAATGGCCATACTACCAAGAGTTATACAGATTTAATGCAATTTCTATTAAAATCCTAATCACATTCTTCCTAGAGCTAGAAAAAGCAAGCAATCATTAAATTCACTTGGAAAAGAGCTTAAGATTCCTTAAGAGACCAAGAATAACCAAAACAATCCTTAACCAGAAGAGTGAAGTAGGACACATTACAATACCACACCTTAAACAATACTACAGAGCCATAGTTACAAAAACAGCATGGTACTGACACAAAAACAGATATGTACACCAAAGGTAACATGAATATAGTTATCTCATACTAGACAAAGGCACCAAAAACATGCATTGGAGAGAAGATAGCCTCTTGAACAAATGGTGTTGGGAAAATCGGAAATCCATCTATAGTGGAATAAAATTGAACCTCAATCTCTCACCCTATACCAAACTCAACTCAAAGTGGATCAATGCCCTAGGAATTAGACCACAGACTCTGTGCCTACTAGAAGAAAATGTAGGCCCAACCCTCCACCATGTCAGCTTAGGAACTGACCTCCTCAATAAGACTCCTAAAGCACAAGAATATAATCAATATTCAATGAATGGGATGGATTCAAACTACAAATTTTCTTCTCAGCAAAGAAAATAATCAATAAAGTGAAGAGAGAACGTACAAAATGGGAGAAGATATTTACCACAGTCACCTCAGAGCTTCAATCTCCAGGATATATAAAGAACTCAAAAATTTAACACCACCCCCCCCCAAATAACCCAGTCAATAAATGGGCCAAGAAACTGAACAGACACTTCAAGAAGAATAAATAAAATTGATTAACAAATATATGAAAAATTGTTCAACATCTCTAGCAATTACAGAAATGCAAATCAAAACAACTCTAAGATTTCATTTCACTCCAGTCAGAATGGCAATTATCTAGAATACAAGCAACAATAAATGTTGGCAAGGATGTGAAATAAAAAAGTACATTCATATATTGCTGGTGGGACCACATATTGGTGCAACCAATGTGGAAAGCAGTATGGAGATTCCTCTAAAAACTTGAAATGGAACCACCATTGGACCCAGCTATCCCCCTCCTCAGTTTATACCCAAAGGACTTAAAATCAGTATACTACAGGGACACAGCCACATTAATGTTTATAGCAGCTCAGTTCACAATAGCCAAACTATGGAACCAACCTAGATGCCCTTCAACAGATAAATGGATAAAGAAAATGTGATTTATATACACAATGAAATATTAGCCTTAAATGTAATTATGGCATTTTCCAGTAAATGGATGAATCTGGAGAATATCATGGTTAGCGAAATAAAGCCAGTCCCCCAAAACCAAAGGCTGAATGTTTCTCTGATATGTGGAAACTAATTCACAATGGGGGGGTAGGTAAAAATAGAGATACTTTGCATTAGGCAGAGGAAAATGAAGGGAGAGGAGGATGTATATGAGTAGGAATAATAGTAGAGTGAATTGGATATTATTACCATATGTACATATATGATTACCTTATACATCATGCACAGTCAGAAGAATGAGAAGTTATATTCCATTTATGTATGATGTGTCAAAATTCATTCTATTGTCATGTATAACTAATTAGAACAAATAAAAAAATAATAAAATATAATCTTAATGTTCAAGCTAGGACAATGCTTTTTATTTGTCAAATTATTGGGCAACCATAATAGCAATCATTTATACTGGATTTTTCTCTTTTTCAGTATCAATCATTAAACAAATATTAGTTTAATATCTATTATATGCCAAGAAATGTTAGTCTTGGA